GTATTCCGTGCATTCGCTGCAAGTTTATTCCAGACACAATACTAAATAAATACGAAACAATTGAAAGAAATGTTTGCTAGTAGAACCAATTTTTATACATTTGTGCGAATATCGTTTAGCTAGTTTTTAATTCGAACGCGGAATCCCAGTCTGTGAAGAGGAAGCCATCTGTGGATAACTTTTACGAGTCTAGATCGTTTATTTTTAAATGAAACGGTCGGAATTATTCTTGTTGACATATTTATGGTACTATTTGCTACGTGATGATGGGACATTTACTGGGACTTTTATCACCGGTGCAGCTTCGTACGGAATGTGAAAAACGCACGCCACCTAATGCATTCCTGTTTGTCGGTATGAAAAGTGCACTGCGCAGCATTTTGCATACCAACAAGGCTACGGACACTGGCCATATCGCCCAGTTAAAATATACCCAGCGATATCTTCTGCATGAACGGCGGACGTTGTAAAACCCATCCAAAAGCTCGGAATGAGCTGTACTACGTTCACAATATGCTAATCTACTCCGACATTACTTCCCGTTCTCTTAACCGTGTCCGTCCGTTAAAATTGTTAATTCTCTTTTAATACGGACCATTCACTGGAAAGGATTAAATATACATGAGACCTCAAAGAATTCGACCCGCAGCTGAAATGGCCGCCTAATCTCAATAAACGTCTTGTTTGTATTTAAACGATCGGACTTGGAAGGAAGTTCGTGCATTTCCGACTTCTTAATAAATATTTTGGGCTTAATACGTTCTCATTGATAGACTCTAAAGGATATTTTTAAAACAAATAAGTTAATTCGAAAACGAATTAATACGAGACCACTTTATATATAAGTGCTCCATGAGAGGATTAAACCGGTGACCCTCGTGACAGCAGCTTGTTGGCGAATGTGTCCCTTACATTCGAATAAAACGCTAGTATACGATTGTGATTTTTTTTGCGAAAACCTGGATGCGTAGGGGAAAAACTCAAGGCAGATTCATAAACCACAAGTACAGGGGTACGTTATTTGTGTCTCAAAAAAATTATTGATTAAGGCAATTGATTTGGGACCACAGTACTGTTGTTATTAGTATTTATACTGCATCTATCCAAATTGATATACGTGTCGATGAGATTCTAATAGTGGCACTTTCGATGCAGAAAAATTAGGCTTTGGATAAATGTCGTACGATCAGCTGAATAAAAAATTGGATACTCCTATTATTTTTGCATAGATCAAGCAGCGACAAAGCATAAAATAAAATAGGATTGTAATTCGTACAATAAATTTCGATTTTAATGCTGACTTCAAAAACATTTATATTAATTACGCTACGATGTGAAGCCAAAAAGCTAAACTTTTTGTAGAGAAGGTTGGCAATGTTATGAACGTTGGACAAGTTAGATAAAAGCGACAGAATAGTTGGTAGCATAATGTGTCGGAATTTCACCCACATCACTTGATATTAAATGAAAGGAATTTGAAATTGTGTGCGAGTGGACGCGTTGGCACCCATAAAATAGGAACAAAGTCAAATAAACGCGGGCACTAGTAATTGTAAAAACGTAACTTTAGAATAATAATTGTCCCGCAATGTCGCAGTAGCGCTTGTCCATATTTTAAAATAGCTGTTTGCCGTTAGCAAAGAATTCGCAACTGGATATGGATTGCTTTATAAATATTTATAGTTCATTTTGGAAGGACAGTCCGACGTTACAAAAATAAAAATTGCAATCTGGGGAGATGCTTTAAGGTTGTGTTGTATTGACTTCTAAAAAAACATGAATCTCGTGAATATTTTTGATTTGTGAATAATCAAGAGAAAATGGGTCGGCGTTCCAGCCTTCGACCTTATTTCATCGTTGTTTTTGTATTTTTTACTCACGCACTCACAACAAGTTATACAATTTAAACAATACTTTGCACTGCAAATAGTGTTGTTGCGTAAACAGTGTGGACACAACGGGAATGTTATGATGGCAAATTGAAATCTAAAGCAGTTGAGGTGATGTAATAGAGAATATAGATTTTCACACTAACCTAATATCGCATTCAAAATGACGTTCCGTTCTAGAAATGATTGATGGATTAACTACCGTCGTCTAAATTTATGGTTCGAGAATAGCGCATGGGTTTAAAACTTGTGTAAGTATGGATTTCATTTCACCTATTGTTTAGGTTCTGCAGTATCAATTTTCATAACAATTTCTAATTGTAATAAAATAAAACCAACCAGTTGAAATGCATACCCCTTACATTACTAATTATGATGATTTCCGTTCGTCGTGTTGTAAATTTTGGTGACTAAATGAAGTTACACGTGTTACTCTTCAAAATTTGATGGTGATGTTAATGTGTGGATTCATTAGTTTAAATTAACTGTAATCGCAACTGTAAATAAAAAACGAAACAGTACACTGCCTTTTTGTATGTTTTAACCGTGCCAGAATCAATATAGTCCATTTTATGAATGAAATTTCCACCAATACAAAATAAAAAACATTCTCATTCTAAAATAATCAAGCTGGATCACGAACTATCTCGGTTGTGGTTCTAGATCAGACCGGATAGCGGAAAAATCAAACAACGTACTGAAACAAAGCTTATATTATTAAAGTGGAAATATGTATAGAAATCGTCGTTACATGGAACTGATATTATTAACAGCATTAGTATATCGATTATTTATTATGTTTTGGCCAAACTGCATATTATATCAATAACATTCAGTTAAGCCAATGCTTATTTATTACAGTTAAATTTGGAATCGAGAACACTCAAATTGAGAATTGGTTAAAACAGAAAATACATTTTTTTATACTTTTTGATATGAGAGAAACTTTACTATTTATAATAACTAGTGTGAGTATTTTTGAGAATCTTCTCCAAATTATTTTACATATACACGGTGATTAACGAATAACGTCCGCTGTAATAGTTGTGTTTATGGAACTCAAAATTCATTTTCACAAGCTACTTCGCGAATTATTTATTTGAATAATTTTTTAATATCAGAGTTATCCAATTTTGAGTCAATTAATGGTGGTGAGGGAATCTTTGTGGGGCTCCAGATTAATCTGTTCCTGTCAGATGCCAAACTTGAAAAAGTCACTCTAATCGACTTAGGACTTAAGACAATGACTTAAAAAATTTTGGGTAATGAACAATATCGAGAATATTAGGACTTCTTTTCTACAAATATTGGTGATGATGAACACGAAAAGTGTTTTCATTATGACATTTTTACGACCGAAAAACGATACCACGGAAAATGGAATGGTGAAATGCTTGCTAATCAGTGCTATCAGAAAGTTCCAAAGCTGAATATAAAAGAAAAAGACGTTTTAATTAGTTGTACTTAGTACTACTTATTACATTTACGAACAATTTGTATTTTTTATAAAATATATCTTTGTCGAATTCTAACCTGCTAGAGGCCATTTATTTTTTCTGTTGGGACTCATTGTCGGTGACGCCGGCCGGAGAAGAGCCTGGAAGCGGATGTCGCGACGGGTGTTCGAGAACAAGCTTAGAAGCGGTAACGGGGACCTTTGAGAAGGACCGCGCGGCTATTTAAATGGCACCCACCGTCGGGAGGACTGCGTGTAGTCTAGATAATGGAAGAAGTCTAGCCAAATCCATTCCACTCGAGTCGGAATTATTCTGTACATAATCGCTGCATAGTTAGTCGTGTAAATTGGAGTTATTAAGAAATAAGTAATTGAGTTTTACCCACTCAGATTTTAATTAGCGATCAACGTAGCAATATTTCATGTTGTCCGTATCTGTGTGGAGGGCGCCGCCTTAGACTTTGCGCTCCCCGCAGCGCAGAGACCAGGGGGTTGCTATTTAGGTCATTGCATGCTATATTTCTTTACCTGTACTTTAACAGTCCACGTATACACATGAAGATGTCACTTGCAGAAAAAACAGCACAATGCAATATTAACGATATATAGATTCTAATAACAATTAATGGTTCCAATTTGAAACTTTTATCTCTTTAAATATCTGAGTTATTAGAATAGAATAGGCAAACATGAATGTCATAATTTAAAATGTGTTTAATAGACCACATGCGAAGAAAAATATGTCGACTTGAAAAACATACGATATTCTGTCTGAAAAGAAAGGCTAATGTTACCTCTGAGAAAAGTATAGTAAGGTAAACTGGGATCCCCATTTTATATACTGACACAAAAAAGTTAAATTTTGGTATATTTAAATAAAAGTAATTATTTTCAGAAGTACGTTTATTTGTATTTGTGGCGATTTGAATTTGTTTGCATTTTTACAGCGCGGTTGTCACGTTTATATTAAAAATGTTGAGCAGTTAGTAAAAAAGATAATATGTATATAATAAAATAAGTAAAGATACTAATAAAAGTTAATGATAAATAAAATAGCACATAATTACTTCTGAATAATTTAAATTAATTTAAGTATCTCTGTCATCGTAAATCATCGTAGACTTGGTCAGTGACTACAGAACCTAAACGCATTTATTTCATTTAGTACTAAATACGTATTTATTGATCTACTTTTGATGACCTTTCTCTTATATATAGAACTAAAGGCACAGACATGTTTTATTGCTTACTATAGTATGTCATGTGTGTACTTCGAGATTGCATTTCATGCGGGAAGAAACTAATTGCACGTACCGTAAGCTTTGATGGCCTTATTGCAATTAGTAATCAGAATATACCCGTGTGTGTCTGTGTAGATATGTTAAACTTAGCATTTACAACTATATGAGCTGTTTATGACAAAGCTTTTAAGTATTTATTACCGAATTCAGTTGCACAGTGTTTAATCCCGATTTTCCATGTTGTTATTTTCAGTGTAAACAGTACGTTATTGTAGCCCAGCTATTTCATTTCTTCAAACATTTTTAAGTCTTTTTTCTCACATTCGTTATTCTTTTAAAGCGTGCACTCGACGATTTGTAACACAAACCGCAGTAGTAAGAGCAATGCGTGTAAATTTAAGGAAATTTGCTTACCTGAACCATTATGGATATTCCCACAATGCCTTGAGATTTATGTTGTGCCTCCGACATATTGTGGTAGAGTTGTTTGTTGAACCCATAGAATTGAATCTGAAAATACGTTACGTGAAAAAACAGTTAGAAAGTGGTGAGGCTTTCATATTGTGATTGGCTTGAAAGCTTCGTAATAAAATATTGTGAGGCAATCTTTTCTTAATATTTATGAGCAGTTGTTTGAATGTCTCGAGGTTGTGTATTCGAATAGAATATGTATACTATCGTCCCCGCGTATAAAAGGAAAAACTAAATCGATGGGAATAAAGTAATAACACAGAATAGATACATATCCCAGTCCATCACGCTGACTTTTCAAGAAATTCAATAAGTCGTATTTGAATCCGGATGATTCGGGAAGATGGATGTATGCTTAGGGCACGTATAAGATTTTGCCGTTCAATACAGAACAGTTGGGTTCACGGAGAAAGCGATAATTTTCAGTCTAAACTCACTTCCTATACACGAGGGGAAGGACGAAGTGAATGCAACTAGGTGAACTGCAGTACTTTTAATTCGTTCTTCAAGTATCCGTGAGCTCCCAAAAATATAGTTTCGATCTTAAAAGATTTCAAACTAATTTTGGTATTGTGGTATTTTCTAACGACTAAAATTTAGCGAATTGTATGTCTATGAACCAAACTGAGTTCAAATGTGTGCCAAAATAAAATCCTCGGAATGCTAGTGGTCCAGCTTCAAGAACATGATTTATCATTAAAGTGAGCTTTTACTCATTATTGATGGTAACACATTATACTTAAGTGTCAAGTTCTTCAAAAAAGTCAACAAAACACAAATAATATTCAATTAAAAAAATTAAATAATAAAAAAAAGTTACGATTACTGTTTATACAAAATTACATATACACCTGACAAGAGTTATACAATAAACTAGTTTTATGGGTACAGTCACATAAATTTAGCTTTTCCTTGTTATATTTAACAGTTTTGTATGTTTGAGTTTTGTATGATTTTTAGGGAAATGTTGTAGAGTGAGATTGTAATCCATGCTTCGTGTCGAAGTTGAGTTGCCCATTTTCATAATAAAAGTAATCCTTATACATGGCTAAGGTCGTAAAAGAGTTCTAAGCATGTGGATCGCTGTGATTATGGGAAATACAAAGAGTCTGACCCCGTACATCTTCTTTAACACGCAAAGTTACGACGTGCTTAGGAGCATAAATACTACAAGCTCTAAAGCAACTCGGTAATATCTTGGTAACTGTGCAGAAAGAAGATATAAAATTTCACCTCTTGTATTGAAAAATTTGAATTTTTAGAGCCCGTTACTTTGATATTTTATTAACAACAATAACAATCATTATCCCAACGTAATGTAAGCTCCGCCAGGAAGCATTGTTGCAACCCTATTCAACTTTGCTAATGGGAAATTCTAGTCTCGAATCTTTTCTTTTGTAGCCCCTTTTCAAAGAACATCCGATTCACTGTTTACAAAAAATAGACAATTCACTTCGTTAAATAAGTACGCCCAACCTAAATTAACAAACCCAAGTCATACAATATCGGCGGATACGGCTACATAAAATCATGTTACTCAGGAATGAATAGGCGACGAAGACTTAGAGTTTTCAACGAAATTTAATTTATTCGAATATCACCTTTAAGTTTATTTGACTTCTCTCAACCGTATCAGAGACATGTCGAAAATAGGGCCGGAACCTTGGAGAGTTTCGCGAATATCGAGTTTAAAATTACAATTCAAATAAAGAAGTAACTGGCATAACCCGCCATCTCTGCAGGGGTGAGATTACAATTTTTTTAGAAATTTGTGTAGGCCTTTCATAGTGGTTCTGCTAAAAATAGCCAAAATACAAATCCGGCTTCGTTGCAGTGCTTTTAACATAATCATATGTATAAACATACATACACTTGATTTTACTGATTCTTATATATAGTGGTTTAAATTGACACATTGTACTTTTAGTTTTTAAAATATAATTTGATACAGCAAAAGCAACGTGAGAAATAATAATTTTTATACTTATCTACAAAAGTCAATGAGCTAAGTTCTTCATGACTATACTACTCTGATCTAGTCTGCTTGTTACTATTGATTAACAAGATCGAAATGTTTCCAGAAACAAACAAGTAGCAGAGTAACATGAAATTTTTAAGTCAGAATTACCGAGTACAATTTTAAACCCTGTCTACACTAAAACAAGTAAAATTGTTTGTGCAGCTCGTTCTTTGGTTTTCTTCGCCGGTGTCTGGTTTTAAAATCTGCCCCTATGGTAAAACAATGTTTGTTGCACCAATTCTACACAGCCGTAGAAACTATGCTATTCATAACCCGAAATAAAAGTGAAAATGTTACCACTGCTTATAGCTAGCTGTGAAAAGAGCACACTTAACTCGTGTTTTCTTTTTGTTTGATAAAATAATGAAATTTTCCTCCTTAGAGTAGCTTTAGTTTGCAAGTACATCGTTCATTACAACTTTAATTAATCACCGCCCACTTATCACAACAGCAAGCAGCCATGCTTGTTTCTCAACTAATTAAAAAATAATTGTAAAATGGTAATTAAAAGATTCTTATTAGTTATTTAACGCCATTGAGTACACGTGGAATCAAACAACAAAAATGAAAAAAATTCTTCCAATAAGTGTGTGTGGAATGCAATATTTTTTCTTTTCACATTACTAGGTGGAAACTGAAAGAAAACAACGTGGATTTATATAACGAGCTGTTCGTTGCAACTTTGAGAACAGTTCAATTATCTGGGAATTTTTTAACAATCTTGTATACTGCTGGAACATTATCACGTTGTTATGTCTTCGGATCCAACATTGTTGCATCGATCGTTTCAATTTAAATGTAGGAAAACGAATTCGTGAAATTGGTTGCTTTGTATGCCATTATGCGCCTGGAGACATCATAATAACAGCCCGTAATGCTTGGTAAAGCAAAATTTTAAATCTATCCAACTTTTGAAACTGTATTAGCGAAAGAAGTCTTGATATAAAATCGAAACGTTATTTCTTCGGCCTGCTCCGAATGTTAAGTAAGACATCAGAGTTTCTAGACAGTTTGATGTAGTGTTTCGGCCAGGTGAAATGTTCTAGTAACGCGTATAGGGAGAATTTATATTTTTCAGGGAACCGTTTGACGTCGGAATTATACTATACATACGCATCGCATCTATCCATTCGGAACTGAACCACTCTGGAATTTTCAGTATGAACTTTGTTCACCAATTTGTTTGGACTAATCCATTAAGAAAAAAATGGGTGGAAGTGATTATCGCGTAAACAGAATCAGATGTACTTGGTTGCCGACGATATTCAAAAATAGGACTTCAAAACATTTTCGTTTTTAGGAGGCTCTTGTATGATGTGAATAAAATTGATGACTAAGCACAATATACGAACGCAGTGAATAAAAGAATTTAATATAATACTGATGGTGTGTCGAATGGGTATAAATTCACTAGAGTATGATTGATATTGACAGCCAAATGCACGTAGCTACACGAATTTAAATGTTTTATCAAAAGTGTTTTGTGGTTACATTAAGTTGCCAGTATTACGAAGTACTCTATGTGTTCCTAAACCACAGAATAATAGTCAAATAGCTATTGAGATAAACAATTAATTATACAGACATGTTTTGCCATTTATGTTTCGACGAGCATATTATATCTGAACTTAGTTTTGGCTAAATGAATGAATTCTTTGTTTCGGCTGGAATGCGTATCAAAACAAATAATAATAATAGGGTTTGTCTATATGGTAGAAATTTAGGTAATAATCAATAAATAAACTAGAAAAGTTTATTTCTAGTTAAGTTTACAGCAAGTTTAAAACAAGTTTGAAATTTATGAACACCCCGTAATCTTCATTATGGCCTCGCAAACATTTGGTCATCGCTCAATTGCCGATAGTCATTTTTCTGAAATACATGCTACAGAAATCGAATGACCTGTTAAAGCGCGACGTGTTTAATCCGGCTTGGTTTCCATCCTACAGCCTCATTAAATTATTATGAATGAATTTTTCTGTTTGTTTATGTTAATCAATAAAAGCTTAAAAGTTTGCTGTTTTCATTATCACTAAAAGCTATCAAAATCCCATGAGGGAAGAATCCTTTAATTAAATTACGTTTTATTACAAAGATTGGGGAATTCATTTATTTGTTCTTTTTTCTTCATTATTGCAGACTCCTTTCATCAAAAACTACAAGAGAAATTATACAAATAGTTTTCCACTAGGACAGAGCAAACTTTATGAAATTTTAGAACAACTAAAGCTTCTAAGATGTTTTCAAATCTCTTTTTATTTGCAATTAATAATTATGAATTACTACTATCTCGAATTTATCTATTATTTCCACCTGTCTACATAAAACAAGGTGATTATAAAAGATCATACATCAAGTTGGCTTCGACATTTCGCAAAATTTGTCCGCTTCATTTTGATGTGATGACTACTTGACACCTATCACAAATGTCAGTCAAAACGTTTTTAATTTTTTTGGATGTATTTGTTGTCTGTTAACTGACACCATTAACGACGGAAAACGATTTTTTAAATTAAATATAAATATAAGTAGTAGAGGATAAATTAAAAAATATAATAAACAACTAAAGTAAAACACAAGATCAATTATTAATTTTAACACAAACTTCAAACACTAGCAATATAATTTGCAGAATAAGTAGATTTATATATAAATAAAAAATATAACAGCATGGTATAGTAAAGTAATCAAAATCAGATGATGATAAAATAAGAAAGTGAGAGAAAACCAGATAATAAATATATGAAAAAAATGAATTCAAGAAAAGCGTAGGTCGGGGAAAACAAGGTATAGCGTAATTTGCAAAATAGCATTAAAACATGATTAAAGCAAACTCTAAAAAAATTGTCAAATCTCGTTTCTTTAAAAAATAGAAAAAAAATTGCGAACTGTTATTTGTGATTACCTCTATACATTAAAATAAAAATAGATAAGTAATACGAGTAACAGTGCAAGAAGCTAAATGATATCCTATAAATATGTATGTTTTGACAACCTATAATTTTTTTCTGGTTTGTCA